GTCAGTCGATGTCGGACGACCGTTAGTCGAATACTAAAGTATCAGCGGCACCACAACTAGATTTCTGCGTCATTACCTATTATATCAAGTTCTAACGTTTTGTACGTCGAACCTATTTTAGGACCGACTTAGTGAAATACAATCCTCCACTGTGAAACCACTCTACAACAAATACCCTATTTGCTACAAAAATTTTCAAAGAAAGTGATGTTCGAATATGGCTCGGATTGAGATCCGATTAGAATTATAAGTAGAACTTAGCCATTAATTTCACTTGAAAGTTTTACCCTGAAGGGAAAAGGTCCAGATTCTCTTCCATCTTCTTACCAGCTAATGGGTTAATAGATTGAGTTCTATTCTTACAATTGGATCGGTCTAGATGGAAAAAATGATCAGAATTTAAAACCGGCCTTTTGACCTTTATCAAATTAGTTTCTTTCAAGAAAGACGGCTGATTTCTGGCGAATTTAAAATGACCCCACGGGTCACGGGATGAAAAAACTACGCCTGAAGCGTCGTCGGGAGAGATAAGAGACAGCTGTTCTATTATCCAAAAAAAAAAAAAAAAAAAAAACAAACTACTTGAAGTCTGATATAACTGACGTGATAGTCGCTATGAACAACCAAATGCACGCACTTTGATTTTAATATCCGGGCATATTAATCTGATGATCATGTTCTTCATTTTGTTTTATTGAATATTCTGAATTTTTTTTTTAAACATGTAAATATTTAAAATAAATGACTTTTCTATTGAATATTTGTCTGTTTTTTTTACACTATCATGTGTTCTCAATTACCCAGCAAACTCTGATGTTTATTCATTTCAGATGCATAAATTTATATCAATCAATATGTTTAATGATGTTTTTATTTGAATGCACACCATCACAAGATTAATTCATGAGTTAATTATTTTAAGATTTTTTATTAATTTACTTAAGTGAGAAATTCTTTGCTACTGACAAAAAATATTATTACAAAAATTAAATGAGAAAGACTAATAGGGGTGTTTCAATAATTTTTTATATAGAAAAAGTTGAGGATCAGGATCAAAGGCATCAGAAGATGTCGATTGACATTACATTTGAATATTTGAAGATTATAGCTGTCAGGAAGCAAGTAAAAGGAGAGGAGTTTCTGATGTCAATGGGAATTTTTGAGAGAAAAAAGTTTATATGGAGTAGAAACAATTGTTACATTTAATTGTTTTTTGACAGTGAAAAAAGGATGGGACCGAAATGCCAATTAGTAGAACGCTTTAAACAGTAAAAAAAAAAATCACCACCAAAATAGTGGAAAATTTATAACATTTACTGGACAAATTGACAAATATTTTTAAAAAAAAAAAATTTGATTTAATGAAAAATTTATAAAATGGCGAATAATATCCATTTATTTTTAAACAAAGGAAGAAAAAAAAAAAAAAAAAAAAAAATTTGAATTTATTTATTTTTTTTTTATTGTAAAATTTACTTGTTAGTTTCAACAGAATGGCCATTAGCATGCAAATACTAAGAGAATGATAGAAAAATTAAAAAAAAGAGAAAAATTGATTTTATTAAAAGAAGGGCGTGGATCAGGATCATGAACATCAGAAGATGTCGATTGACATTACATTTGAATATTTAAGGATTATAGCTAAGAGGGAAGCATATAAGAAAAAGGAAGTTTCAAATTTAGGAATAATTGCAGGGAAAAAGTTTTGTAAGAAAAAATGGCGACATTTAACCGTTTAGACAGTGAATAACGTTGGGACAGAAGAGATGCCAAAAGTTTTATAAAAGAAAATTCATGCAGTTTGAAACCAGTGTTTAGCTCTTGTCAGGGCAGTTGCCATGAAAAATATTTGTAACAAAAAGACAGAGGGAAGCCACAGCACGTCTGTGAAAGAGTGACTGTAGATTAAATGACATTAAATATTTGTAGATATTTATCTCAATAAATATTTCTTAAAAACAAAGTTGGTGTACGATCTTTCATGTAATAAGAAACATGAGTTATTCAATGATTTTTGCAAGTCTAATGCTTGTTAATATTTTAATAATGTTTGTTAATATTTTTAGATCATTTCTTTTATTATTTTATTAATAACATTTTCCTATTTAAACATTTTCGACGCATCAACCGGGATCTTAAAAAATAAATTCAGAAAAAACAAAAACAAAAGCAGAAGAAACTTTTGTTGGCTTTTATATAATTAAACATTCAAAAATTTTGAAAAAGAAAAAATCAATATATAACTGAACAATTTATTTTGTTCATTTCATTTCCAAATTAAAAATTAAGTAAAATTTAAAACACCGTGGCAAATTTTTTTGAGCCCATAAATTTATGGTGATTTTCAAAATTTGAATCCATAAAATTTCATATCTACTTGTTTTAAAAAGCGAAATGTATAAAAATAAAGAAAGCGAAAAAAATTTTTTATTTTTTTTGTTTTGTTTAGAATATGATTAGACTGCGTTCTTTTCTGTTTAAATTTGTTTAATGATGAATT